GAGCAAAGAATACAAGTATTTTAAAATATTCTTAGAGAGCTGTGACTAGGACAGGAATATATTGACTACACATACTAAAGACTTAAACTGGACACTGGAGAGGCGATCTTAACTTGAAAGAATAACTAAGCACTCAAGTGGGATATATAGAAAAAACAGAATTACTGCTGTAAGAGAGTTCTGAATGCATTAGGTGAAAATTGGCTAAGCAGTCATCTAGCTATATTTAGCCCTAATTCAAGTGCAAAAGAATAATCCTGAGGATTGTCTCAGCTCTATACTTCTGTATAGTCTAAAGCTTAACATATTTGATGTTATTACCTGAGTGACTAACAGACTCCAACAGTTCTTTTAAAAATTCTACTCTCTAATAATCACCTTAAAAATACTCTATATAAGTAACTTAGGATGTAGACTCCCAGTTTAGGTAAAAGACCTTGCCTAAAAAACCTGTACTGCTAAGTATGCTGACAAAATTAATGAAAAGCCACTCATGAGTCCAAAGACCCAGTTAACAGGTTTTCTTCTCATATTCCCAGTCTGTATACTTGAGGTCCTTCTCTACTGAGGAGAAAATAAAGCAGTCAGTACTAGGCCCCGAAATCTGAGGAAGTCAGGGATGAAGGTAAGGTTGGATGACATCTATCTCTTTAAATTGTGATCTATGTTAAAGTTCCAACTTCCTATTACTCTCCCTAAACATGAAGATTAGAAAATAAGATTCTTGGAATAACTCAAAGCACAGGGCTTAGGAAAGGATTTAAGAGAGCTTGCAACTCTACCAAACTCCATTTCTGTACTGGAAATGTTGCATGTTACTATATAAGTTAAAACCTACTTGCCCCACACACAGCAAGATGTTTTCTCACTCTAAAACTCAAAGCATTACTTGTTAAAGCAAGAAGTGTAACATAACGATATAATCTTTCCAAACCTCTAGCTTGCTAAAATAAACTTTGCAATTGTACTGTGTAAGAGGTCAGACTAAAGGATTAAATCCTATATATAATTGTCCAAAACCAAGAATTCCTATGTTTGAGCAACAGTCTTTACTCATCAGTAAAAAAATAAGTATCTTGGGGCCTATTTTGGCCTTATTAATAATTAAACACATAAACATTCAATAACATTAGACAGTAGGCCTGAAACAACAGCAAATTACTTTTCACAAAGGACAAAATTCAACTGTGAAACTGATTGCCACAGGCCTTTCTGAAGATCAAGCCTACATAATGTCAAAAAATACTAGATGAATAGTGAGGTGAGTGTGATTACTGATGGTTATTTAGCACTGTGGTTCTGAAATAAAGGCTAGCTCAGGAAGTTTCTAAATTGTGCATGCTCTAGAATAGGATGCTAATGAAGAGGGTACTTTGTACACACTCTTGCAGATTCCTCCCTAAACTAAAAGCAATTGCCTTTACTCCTGAAAATTATGTACTTCTGCTCTGGCAATATGCCACTAAAGTTTTAAGTATGCTTTACATAAAGTTAGTCCAGTGAACTGGACCACATTCGTTAACTTTCAAAGTCTACACCCTATATTTTTTCTTTTTTTCTTTTTTTTTCCTGTCAAATATTCACCTTGAATTCTAAACCCAATGTCATGATTTGAAAATATCCAAAAATCATCCAAAAGCCACCCCTCATATCTGTCTAGAGTATTTTATTTGGCTCTGAAACAAGTTTAAAATACTTTTATTAATCCTTTTAGTCTGTTACAGTAATATATTTTGTGGCAAAGCCCTATTTAAATCCATAGGTCTAGACTGAGCTTATAAATCACACTTCTATTCATCTACAAAGAACTCAGGAAAAGATTGGGACTTTTCTAGAACCAAGAGTCCCAAACTTAGGACCTCATTTACAGACAATATTATTTTAAACAACAGTCTATTTAAATACTATGCATTTCTTGTCTACTGCTCAGGTATTTCATTTCAAGGAAATAATGTATGGATGGACGTCGACTAAATCTGAATAGTAGTTTTTAGCAACATGAGAGTACACACCCAGTGTTCCCTTTAACAGTATATGCCCTTTACCAGTTAATGTGGTATTTATAGCTATTTCACTAATTTTTAGTAAAATGCAGTCATGTCTGCTTCATTAAACATACTTGTCACTTGAATTTACTACTCTGAATAAGTTCAAAAATGTGAAAAGATACATTTATATTGAATATCAATTTTTGATGAACTACATGAGGATATAGACAAGAAGGTGCAGAAAACAAGCTCCACAGCCCCATCTGTTGGCTAATTAAGCTCAAGAAAGCCACCTACCAACCTCTAACCAACAATGCTGAAGTGGAATCAGTTCATTGTTTGGATACACTTCCAAGTTTCACCATCACAATCTGATATGTGTGCTTCTTGAACTCCCTAAGCACATAACAGCCGATTTTCTAATATGCTTGTGTAACTTTTAATTTCTTTAAAATTAGAACAACAGAGCAGTCCCTGTGAATAGTGCTGCTTTTGAGCAAGGTTGAGACTGACCTGCTTGCGTTTTCATTCATAGATAAATGGTCTATATTGAAGTTCAAGTAAGAGGTGTCCCTTGATTTTTAAACCCAAGCTAAAACCACTTTCTTCTAAAGCCAAGGGCTTAAATGTAGGGGTGGGTTTTTTTAAAGGCATTTACTGTAGTTTGTAAGTGACAAATGTTTCCAGCTCCCACTGACTTCAGGGACTTATAAGATAGCCAGACCTTGAGCATGTGAAATATGACCCAATTGTGTTAAAAACATAGAATCTAGCACCTGAGTGATTTATAACAAAGCATTTAATTATACCATGAATAGAATAACTCTTTCGCATGAATGCAGTTCTAGTAAATAATTACAGTAGGACAGAGCAAGCAGAACAAGGTAACAGTATGACCATGACAAGTTCAAAGGCTGTTATAGAGGTTTTAATCTATGAAATACCACTGCAGTGAACCTATTTGTACCACAATAGAAAACAGCTGCTGCAAGCCTTAAGTTTGCTTAAATTCAGTTGTGATGAGGCTCCCAGTGCAGCAAATAGTGAGAGTAGAGGGTGGGGGAAAGATGGAAGCTAATGCACTTTCCTGTGTAAGCACTGGTCCATTTAGAGGAACCAAACCAAATCTTACAGGCAGGGGAGGTGACTGAAAGGAAAAAGCATAGAAGACAACTCCAAACTAACATAAAACACATACACAAAAATTAATCAGTGTTGAGAAATGCTGCTGCTGACCTCCATTGTTAAATTATCAGTAGATGCTTCCATGTACTGCCAATGCAGGGTGGGGAGAAATATGTTGATGACAACCTGCACTCCTGTAGAAAGGGCATTATCTCAGAGTAAACACAGCTGTATTATCAAGTGCAAATTAACACTCAAGGTCAAAAAAAGTTTAAAAGTAATCTGGAATGTGAGACCCACAGTGTTTCCCTAAATTAGGCTGCATACTTGCTCAATCAAAATTTAGTCCCCTACCCCAAAATGAAGAGAACTTCTACTAGTATCATCAAACTGCAAGTTGTCATTCAAACTAATGGCACTTAAATCCTGTCAAGGTCCCACTTAAATTTGGGTATCCTATACTAAAATTTGGGTATCCAAGTAAGGTTTCAGACTAACTGCTGTCTTTTAAAAGCCCTTTAAAAGAAAGGGAGTACAGGATCATTTGACTTCATTATGCTCTTTTCAGTCTAAAAAAAATACTTTCAAAGGACAAAATTCTATTCCTGCTTAGGCCACAATCACAATGAGCAATCTATAGGACCTCTAAAAAGACATCAGTTGCTGGGCAGTTTTGCTTTCATAGCTACCCATGCTATTATTCAAAATGCCATAAAATAAATGGATTCCCTATCTCTTATCCACAAATCTCCAGATCTCTTATGTTCAATAAAAAAAACTTTTTCTGCAAGAGCTACAAGACTAGTCTCCTTTATGCTGGAAGCTATAATTTATATATACTAGATTGGGAGAAAAAATGGCTATCTGGCTGAAATCTTTGGGGCTTGGTAGCAGAGAAGCAAAGGGGAAGAAAGCTATCACATGTTTAGATCACAAGCTGAAAAGACCACAACCAAAATGAACAAAATGAAATGTGTAAGGAAAGATGGAAAGGGAAGAGTCATGACAGGTGATTATGGATCATATGTTATGCTTCTTGCATCCTATCTTTGACAAACTTAATTTAAATAGACTGTATGATCGTATCATACTGACATGCATGAAAACAATAGAAATTTAAGTTACAATATGGCAGATGGACTTTGCTGTCAAATTCATCACTCAAAATAACTTGATTATGGTATTCTACTCCCTGCTATGGTGTAAATATATCCAACAGATGTCAAACTGAAGAGAACAGCATTTTACCATGTACAAAAACATGGTATTGCTCTTTTAGCTATGTACTTATGGTGTTTAGAGCCAACAATTGCTGAAACAATTATTAGCACTGAGCATAGCTAGCAATGTGATGGAGTTTTCTCCATGTGCTTTAGTAATAAGGTGCAGCCTTGGAGGGGTCGCAGGGGATCACGATCTTAACTCATGTTTTAGGAGTACTGCAGAGGTAAGAAAGTAGATGCATTTCCAGATTATTTGTTGGAAAAATACAGAACTCAAATGTCTGTTAAAGTATAACTTAGAATGATATTTTTCCAACTTCTCAAACAGTTGTCCTTTAATTGTATTTTTATATAGTTCTATTTTTAATACATGTTGACTGGAAAATTCTTCTCAGCTCTTGTATGACCTACAAACTCACACTTCAATATTCTGAAAACCTTTCTGAGGTTCTGCTCTTCTTCTCAACACAATTGCCAGATCCTCAGAGAAAACAGTTGCACTAGCTATCATAGAACAGCAGAAGCACTAGCAGAGCAGCAATCTACCCTGACAAGCATGTTGTTCTTGAAATGCCACATGTGCACTTCATTCAACTGAAGTACAGAATGTTACATTACTTTAAAACAAATTATATCAGTTATCACACCAAGGTACTTAACTTACCCCTCCCATTGTAATGCCATCAATAAGTGCCACATACGGCTTCTTGCAAGTGCCTGTAAGAAACGTAAAAAAATATTGTACATTTTTTCAAAAGAGTGGACCTGTGACTAACTATATACAACACATTTCCCCATGTCTTACTTCAGCAAGAGCAACAGAAAATATCAACCTATTATGAAGGTCCTTTACGTAATTCTTAGGCAATGACAAGAAACACCAGTTACTGACTTACTGCTTTCTGAGTGTTGTAAGAGAACATTATACAACCATCAAATGTCAGACTGTTTGCTAAGTGAGTATCGGACAATTCTGCCACATCTGGCTATTCCAAATAGCTTTGCAGGACGTTGACACACAAGTTTCCATTCTCCCTGTCTCACAGCCTGGATTAACACCACAGAGTGTCTACCAGCACTCCAGTGCTTTACTACACAGCCAGATGCATTGGTAAGTTTCAGCTGAAATGTAACTGTAAACTACTGCAATGCAAACCTGTTCTGTCCTGCCAACTCTGTTGCATGTTACAACCCTGAATGTGGTGCAGGCAGGTTGAGGTCATAATGTCCTAAAGTACAACAGTGTTATCTATCAATTTTATCTGTTGGGGCCTTTAGGAGGCATAAAATTAAAGACCAATTACCATTCATGTAAAGATTTTCAGGTTGACTATGTATGAAACCACTGCCTCATGTTCAGTGTTTTCAGGCCAAACCTATTACTGATAGGGCTATCTGCAGCAACGATATTGCTAGCTTTTCTGTAGCAACTATAGATCCTTGTTTAAAACCAGAACTATTTTAAAAGGCAGTTCAATCCTTCAAATTAGTAATTAGAAAATATAACAGAATTGCATTTTTAACTTTGTTCTTACATGAACATACAAGCTAATTCATGGGCTCTAGATGCTAGTCTTCAAACTAAATTTCTATAAAAGCATGCCTTTCCAATAGCAAATGCTGTGAAAGCAGCTCCTCTGGGTATTTTTAAGTTGTAAAACATAAGACATAAATCTTTTGGGCAGAAATCTGTATTAAAAGAATACAATCATACCACAGCTATCAAAAATCTAGGTTTTGTAATTACACACATTATAGACATAGAACACCCTAATAATTAAAAAAAAAAAAACCACAAACCCTACAAACTTTTAAAGTATGTGCCCTTGCAACATTTGAATAGACTAGAATTGTTAGTTGGAAGAGACATACGATGATCATCTAGTCCAACTGCCATGGTAATACTAGTTTTTCACAAATGAATAAAACCTCAAACTATTTTTCTTGATGAAGGGGAGAAGGGTACATGACAAACATGCTAAAACTGGAAACTTTGTCAAACAAAAATAACTTTTCAGAAATTACTCTAGCTCTATGCTCCTCTGTGAACCTAAGTTGATAGGCAACATGTTCACTTCTCTTCCTGTAGTGACTAACACTTTATACAATGTTTAAAAACTCCAGATGTATTCAATTAACAGATGTATGGAGAGGTTTCTTCTCACCAAAACATTCAACTTCTAACTTTTACCCTGAAGAAATAATATCCTTTCTTAATATCCTTTACCCCAGTAAACTTTACCCAGTGTCTTTGCTGTTGGCTATTTTAAGACCACATACTCCTAGGTTCTTTGCAATAAACTGAGGCAGTTAACTCATAGCTTGAGTATTAATTTATGCAATTTATTTAAATGGAAAGTTTTAACATAATTCGATCTTCTGCTTTCTGACTGAATATTAATGATTTTCCATGCATCTATTTTTAGCTCAGGTCATCTTTGAAGTAGATCAAGGCTACTTAGTGAAGAACTGCACTGTCTGCATCTAAGACTCAATTCATCCATAGTGGAAATATAACTACCCAGAGCAATGGGATGGGATAAGGTAGCTATCAATAGCTTAAACAAAAGAAACAAAGTCTGCATGCAAGGTATAAAAATGATATATGTTACACTACTGCTATTGAACTTGGTTTAAAAACCCCACCCATTACTACTTCTATTACGTTATCAGAGTCTTTTATGGATTAGCAAAGAGAGAAAGTGAATTTACATTCAAAGCCAATATTATGAAAACTAGTGCTTCAGAATTTGCTATTAAACATACCAATGGCATTGTTCAGGATATATTCTTCTCTGAAGAAATCTTGTGTCAGTCTATCTCCAACTTTTCCAGCATCTGAGATAGCTTAAGAGAAATTAAAATTCTGAAGTTAACTTTAAATTTAATAGAAAATACAAGTAAAAAAAATAATCCCTCCTGATAACAGCATTTTTTCCTTACAGCAAACAAACAGCAACTTCATCCTGCTGTATTTTATTTGAGAAAATTTGCCCAAACTTAAATATGAATGCAAAGTTTCAAACTTGACTATTATGCTGGAGACTGTCACACACTTGTGAAAGTGCAGTCCATCCTCTATGCTAGGGAACCCTTCCCAATGTCTAAGTAGTCTTGTTTGTGATATTTTGTATCAATACATAGAACAGTCACATAAAACTGATTATATGGAAGACTCCGAATACTAAAAAGAAGCCAGTTAGAGCAGTACAAAATGTAAAGATAACCTGTATGCTTGTTTACCTAAAACTTAAAACAACTGCTAAATTTGACAGTTTGGAGATTTCCTACAGTTCATAGTTACAAAATTATCAAAATTATCACAGATATGTTGATCACCATTGTCAGCTCAGCATCTAAACATCTCAAATGTCAGACACAAATTATCCAGTAGTAACAGAACTGCCTATTAGGACCCTTCAAATTTCTTGTAAAGAAGCAGTCAGTAATCAAAATCCGGGAAGAAATGGTAGAGACGAGAACCCGCTCTTCCCAGGAACTGACTGGCTGCTATTACCAGTTATTAATAAAACCCCAATGTTTATTCCTTCATACAATGTTCCAACAGCTGTCTCCTGGCAAATAATTTAAATAGCATCTGTACATCAAGGTGTTACAAGAAGTCAGCAGAACTAATCTCTCTTATTGCTGTGTAGCAAACCTCTGTTTACCTGAGTCACAGTAAATAACAGAAATCAATGCAAAGTAGTAACTGGGAAAAAAATATGTAAAATGTTTAAGTGACTATAGCCCTTACCTATGATGTCACCCCCAGCACAAAAAGCTTTTCCTCCAGTTCCCTTTATAATTATTAGAAAAGTTTCAGGATCTTGCTCCCAAGTCTGAAAAGAAGTAAATGTTTCCACATAAGATTAAAGACTGTGCAAAAAATGCCTTCCCTGTATACTATCTGTAACTTTTATTTTACTTTTTCAAAAAGCAAATCAAATCATACTTAAAATAGTGCAGAGCTCCCAATCTCTGAAGAAAGGTAGCACTCCCTAAAACAGTATGGGAACATGAAGTTGGGGCAGAAGCTGGGAATATGGAAGATACACTAACAATGTTTCAGGCCAAATCATGAAAATTGTGCAAATCTAAGATGCATGACGAGGAAAACAGCATTTAAATTGTTGACGGATTTTGTCAAAATGACTGCAATCAATGCTAATCAAGGACTGGATCAAATCAATTTGTGCACAGATAGTTTGCTAGGTACAAAGACCATGGGGGGTTGGATCTGAATACACTGGTACAAGACTTCAGCAGTGCTGCAACTGTATTGAGAAGAAGATGCCTTTTATAGGCTCTCCCCACCTTAAACTATGCTTATATGTTTCACTTATTCAAATAAGTGTACCCAGGTAAGAGAGGCATTTCTGTATACCAGCAACTGTACTTAAAATTATGCCACCTTCTAAGGTTGTGCTTCAAATAAAGCCTGGTACTCAGCACTACAGGTTAAATATTTCTTTCTTTAAATGTTCTTCAAAGAATGCATAAATTTGCAACACAGCTACCTATCAAAAGGCAGGCAACTATCCAACAAATACTGGTATCTAATAAGTTTGACTTTGTGCATGTGATAAGTAATATTATTAAATCAAAAAATCTGCATGCCTTAAATTTCACATTACTTCACTAGCTTGTAGAAACGGTGCCTGTAAATCCATAAAATTGTTCTTTAAGGAGTGACACTGACAGTACCTTGTTTCTTAATGGCTTGTATCTTTTATTTCAGCCATGCAGCCTTCTCACAAACATGCACCCAATCAAGAGGCAACACTGCTGTATAGCTTGGAATTCATATATACTGGCTGGCCAGCTGGGCATTGCCAAAAGGAACGTATAAATGATGAGCACTGCCTGCCTTTAATTCAGTTCTGGTCTTAATATGGGTGTCTCTTTATCCAGATGCTAAATTTAACTTTGTCTGACAGCTGTTTGTTTGACATGTTTTCTCCTCTTTCTAAATTGTTTGAAATTATGTTCTTTCCTACAAATCTGAGCTCATTGGCCAGTGCACTCACACAGACTTCCATTCTTTAAATCAGTACATTAAGAAGAGTCAGACTGAAATTTAAAATTGGTTTTGGATAACATATGTACAGTGCATGGGTAGAAGTGGAGCTACTAACCTTTATTTGTGGATAAATTTGTTGGATCATTGGAAAACTTAGTGCATTGAGAACCTTGGGTCTATTCAAAGTTATTATTCCTGCACCTCCTCTCTTTTCCAACAACACGTCAGCTGTTGAATCAGTACTTTTAGACATCTTCTGTACATGCAAAACCAAGTAAATAAAGCAAATGTCATCGGTTAGTTACCTTGAGTAACATACTTACAAGAGTGTTTATGGAAACATTCTCAAAACTCACTATTTAAGATCATAAAACATGCATTTTGGAATTGTATGCAAAGGCTTTCCTACTGTACTTCAAGATATATTTGCAATTCCTAAACAGTTCTTTTGAAACCACTTTGAGTCCTTCTGAGTAACAAATCTCAGACAAATTTTTAAGTCACATACTCTTTGACAATGAAGAAAAACCAAAACAATAAGGAACCATGCTTTTGTGTTTTAAGACCGACATTCTGAAAATATCTGCAACAGTTAGAACACAGTTCCATGTGTCCCTACCAGCAATTTGACACTGCAAACCCAAATGTGCACATTGCTTTGTCTGTAAGTAACTTCTAATAGTGGAGAACAAATCACTGAAGTATTTTCACAATTTATTTCAAACTCACAGTTAAATAATGTTTAAGGCATACACAGAAGCTAACATAGAAACTAACTATAAAGTAAGTAAAGCCAAAAAATTATGTTTTAGTCTACATTATAACAGGTAGTTGTAACAAGGTACTCAAAGACCTGGGCAACTTCATGCCTGAGCAATAAATGATGGCATTCAGAACCGCTGTAAGCAAATACATTAGAAGCTGCATGTGCTGTCTCTCTCAGGGGAAAACTGAGAGTCCTAAAAGCTTCTCAGTCAAACAAGATGATGTTCTTACCAAATGTTGTAATATTACTTGCAGTCTGTTGAATGGATTCAGCCTGAAAAAGAAGTATTAAAAGGAGAGCTCAAACCATAAAATTGCTACACAATCCCCAAATACTACTGAGTTAAGCAAAGCTTTGTCAGAACACAGAATTGTTCTGAACACAATTCTTTTACATTCTCCTTTTTAAATTCAAGTACATTAGAGGACAATTTTGAATTCAAAACTGTTGGAAACTTCTTTGCTTACTAGTAAATAGATAGCAGATACCAATGCCAACTACTAATGTTTTTGATATGTTCAATTCCAAGTTAGGAGGACTTGGAAAGAAAGAGGATAAAGAGCTTGGGGGATATGCTTGATACTTAGCAGTGTGTGTCTTTTAAAAATTTACAGCCTTTTTCTGGACGTTTAAATGCCAGCATTTTTTAAAAACGATCTTGTGAAAAGAACTGTGCCTTTCTAAAGCTTCCATTACAACAAACCTGCCCTTGTGTGTATATATATTTAGGTAGGGTTTATGTAACAGCTTGAGCAAGGCTCACGCTTCTGTTGCTGACAGGAGATAGCCATAGCGGGAGATTTTGTGAATATGCTACTCAATTTAAGTAATGAGGTTGTTATTAATTAACTGTCACTGTACTCTACTGAGGCACAGTTAACAAACGGCATTTGCTGGACTTCAGACACCCGGCTTGCATCAACATTAATGAGCAACTTCAGCTCTCAGCTACTTAAGCACCAAACACAGCCAATTACATGCTAGCCTCCTAAACTACTTTTTAAGCGCATGCTCGTTTTAGGATGGGAAAATTAATTTAGGCCTAAATGATATTTTATACCGGTTCAGGGGATTACAACCCCCAGCATCAGCGGCCTGCCCAGAGCACGGCTCCCCGCCGCAAGGCCGCGGCCGGCCGCCATTTTAAAACTCCTCAGCGGGGAGCTGCGGGGAGAGGAGAGGAAGCTCCGGGGAAGCTTCCCCGCGCCTCAGAGCGGCCACCGCCGCTTCCCCGTTACCTGGGCAGTGGCCTCAGCACTCGGGCCGCCATGGCGGCAGCCGGCGCGGTCGATCGTCGTCATCAGGCAACAGGGAGGGGTGGGAGAAGGCGCCTGCGCGGGGGAGCGGCCGGCGGGCCGCGCTTTGTTCCCTTCGGCGTCCCCTCACCCTGCCCCTGGGAAACGGGCATCGCTGAGGGGATGTCGCCTCCTCTGGGCTTTTCGCTCTCGGGCGGCCGCCGCTTGCTCTCCCCCTGAGAGAGTCCCTGTGCCTGCAAAAAGATCGCAAGCCCCTCGCTGGACAGTTGTATGAAGTGGTTTCCTTACCTTGACAGGAGTGGGGTTGAAGCGGCGCTGCTCCTCATCCTGGATTGGGCCAGGGAGGTTGTGAGGGGATGAGGTGAAGGCTGTTAACTTCATCGGTGAGGCAAATGACGCCGTAATGTAGCAATAATATAAACCGTGGTGGTTGTGGGGGGTGAGGTGGAGAAAGCCGCGTTGCCAAATTACCTTCAGGGCCGAACTCTGTGGAGTGAAACTGTATTTTGACATTGGGTTGTTTCCAAGCAGCAAAGCTAGTTTCTTAATTTCTGACCTCCCTGTTTCTCCTCCTCCTTTAACACCTGCAGCCACACCTATGCTGCCCTCTCAGGTACTGACACACTGATGAACCAGCCGGGATTAAGGAGCTGCTTTAATGTAACATCCCACCAAAAACTGGTTATCCTAGAAGGTAAACACAGGGATTAAGTAGCTGATGTGGTTACTGTCCTGGCAGTAGCTACAGACAGAACTGTGAGCTCAAACACAGCAGGAGTTCATCATAAATAAACTCAGGAATTGCAACCAGGAAAATTGCCGTTTTTTAAAAATAGAAGATTAAGGCATTTGAGAATTTATGGGCATCAGAGTAGGAGTCCATAATGCTAAATTCACTTTTATTTCAGTAACTATGTCAGACCTGATTTTTTAGGCTGACACATACCAGCGTGAGACTGATACCAAAAGGTGTGACAAACCATGGGGTAAATGAAGATACAGAGCATCAGGTGGAAATGTAGCTTCATCATCTCTCAATGTAGCAAGTTCTTAGCACTGGCTGTCTCGATTCACTATTGTAATTTTTTTTTTTAAGTCTTAAAACCTTGTAACAAAATTATTTTGCTGGAACAAAAAAAAAAATAAAAAAAAATTCCCAGCTCTCTGAAGCACTTCTAGAGAAGTCCCCAGAGGGCAACCTTGCTCTTCATTTCAAGAAATGATTCAGTCCCTGTTTATAGCAGAGTCATCTGTATTGGCACTTCCGTTGCAGTAACTCTCGGGGTATATTAAATTGGGTTGTAAAAATCTTAATCAAACTAAATAGGCACACAAAAAAAAAAAAAAAAAAAAAGACGCAGAACATTTCTGTATAATGTAGTCTTGGTTTTCAGTCTTGTACACTGTGAACAAAAAATAACTGAGAACAGGACGTGAGGTGCTTTTGCAGGCATCAGAAGACTGCCTATGGTGAAATAATTAATTGAATTCATTAAGCAATCCAGACTATTTGAACTTTTACCTACAGATTATATATGATCACCAAAGATGCAGCCTGTTAGTATCATCTTGAATATATGCAGCCCTTTATGCTGTTTTACAGCAAGTACCATGCAAATAAATCTAAACCAGACTAAATGATACCAAATTATCACTGTTGCCAAATCTGAACCCTTACTTAGATTTATATTTTAAAATTTTTTTTTGAGGATGATATACCTCTGCATCTCTCATCCAGGCATATCCAAATTATGGGGAGTTCAATAAACAGATAACATTTTTGTACTTCATATCCTATGTCTTAAAGTCTATATGTTTCACAGACATATAGGAACAGAACTTTTCTGTAGGATAATCTTTTTGTTAGTGGAGGTGTGAAAATGAAGAAATCTCTGTGTGTAAGCTAACCCTGGGTAAGAGCAGGTGGAGGCTGTTTGAAACCCCTGGAAATCTCTTTATAAATTCCACCTGCACATGGTGCACATGGGCAAGGCTGTGATCAGGACATGATTACATAGGATGTCTGTTTCTAGAGTCCAAAATAGAAGTCAGTGGTCTGATTCATCTTTTACTTATGCTGATCTTAATCTGTTCCCCACTGGCTTCAGTATAAATAATGGTGTAGACCCTTTCTTTGTTGTCTTCCAGCTGTATGTCTGATTTAGAACAGGAGTGGGACCCGCTCATTTGTAAACAATGAGGTAACAGCAAGCATTGTCTTGTGACAGCTGCTGATTTCTTTCCATGGCACTGACACTGAATTTATGCTTAAAGCTTTCTTTAAATTCTTTCCTTTTTTTTTTTTTTTTTAAAAAAAAAAAAAAAAAAAAAAAAAAAAAAAAAAAGGTTTCAAAAAGAAGGGGTGCTGACAGAAGAGCCATCTTCCTTGAGCCTATTTTTCTTAATTTTAAAATATGCTGGTGATGGTTGAATTTACCTATAGTTTTTTTGGGGGTGGGGCAGTTTTATATGTTAGGAAATTGCAGTTTTCTCAGAGGCAAGTTAATTACTGCAAGCCAGTCCAAAAAGTAACTCAAATATCATCCTGATTTTTAATAGTCCTCCTGCACACCCCATTTTTTGCAAAGTGGAATATCAATGTGAAAATGTTTTCTAAAAAGTAAATCAAAGACTCCTATAAGTAGAAATAGGAAAAAGAGTGAAAATAATGGAGTTGAATGAGAATAAGCAGAATGAGATTACTTTAACCTGGGAGTTTATCGATGATATTGCTATTAGCAAAGAGGGCTGCAGGAGACTGAATGTACTAGGGGTGAGCAGCACCCCTAGTAAACAAGCCAGGAACTCAGGGAGTCTGAGTGCAATAGCCAGAAGCATAGGCAGGTTGTAATTCCTCCCCTTGGAGAATTTTCCTGGCAGTGTGTTCAGCAGGTTTGGAAAGAGAAAACAAATTGCAGACTGTAGGAGGACTTTAGAGCTGAGCAGATGTTTTCGGGTTTTGTTTCTGGGGTTTTTTGCTTTCTTTTCCAGAAAAACACAGAACTTCAGGATGTGGGAGCTCTTGCTCCCAGGGATTCCAAGAGCAGCTCAGCTGTGCTCTGTATGCCGCCTGTATACCCCTAATTAATCACTAATTTGTACCTCTCACTCACTTGCCTCTGAGGGCTCCCAGTGTAGTCCACCAAGACCAGATAATAAATGGTACGAGTACTTCATCGTGTCCCATGCTCCTGTGTCCAGGCTTGCTATAAATTTAATCTTTTCCTCTACTGGTCTAACAGCTAGCATCTAATTTCTCTGTGTGTGGGTAGTAAATGCATCCTTACAGTGTATGAAGGTAAGAAAAAATGAATCTGTGAAGGCTTGAGGAATAGAATGGGAAAATTTCCAGTTCATGCCCGCTGATTATTACTGTACTGACAAGCAGGACTCAAATTGTTTTTTCTCTGTCCAGTCTTAGCTGACGATACTCTAAAACACCTCTGCAGATGACACAGGTTCAAATTTCCTTGCGCCAACCTGGACACGTTATAGTAAAGGCTCAGGTCTGCAGTGGACAATCTTCCACTGATGTCAGTGAGAGTAGAAGTAGACTTAAAATAAGTGGAAAACTAATCTGTTTCTCCAGTCGCTAACAATAGGCCAGCCCAGAGAAGGACTGAAACAAAGAAACATGTATGTGATATGGAGAAGCAAGTTCTTGCTTTTGTCTGTAATGTGAGCAATCCCGTGGGAACAGAGTGCCTTCCCCAGGGCTTTTTGGTCAGAGACTTGTCAGATAATGCATCCATATAACGTCTGAAGTCATAGATCTGGGATGAGGGCACAGCTAAGGGCATGCAGTAGTGAATTTCTCCTGTTAACAAGAAATTGTGTGAGAGAGGAAGAAAAAAAAAACCCAACTTTTGTTACCAGTTAATTTGCATTTTATCAGCGGGGAACGAGAAGTGTTTGGAAAAGGATGAAAGCAAATCCGTAATGCAACGGGGTGAGTGAAGTAGTTTCCATTTTGTTTTGGCCTCAGCGAGCAGCGGGGAAAGCGCGGGGGGTGGCTGGGTGCTGCCGAGGCCGGGGAGAGGCTCCAGGCGAGGCTCGGCCACCAGTGGGTTCCTCCCTCCCACCGCCCCGGCTGAGACACCCCGCTCGCACTGCATCCACCCTGCCAGTATCCCCTGCGTTAGCCGGGACCCTGGGCAAACACCCTCCTACATCTTTCTTCCCTGCTGCCACAAGCAATCTGTCACTCCTCCCCCCCGAACCACCCTCCACCTACGTACAAACCCAGAACTGTAAGGAACGCCCTCTTCCCTCCCCTCCCCACGGGTCTGTTCTCCTTGGGGAGCGACAAGTGCTGCCTTCCTGGAGATCTGGTCAGCCCTGCTTCTGGCTCTGAGACCCGAGCTGTTTGATACCTTTCAGGACCACAGCTTGGAAAGCTCTGCTTGCAGATCTATTGTGTTAGTTTTTCATTTGCATATAATTGCACATGTGCAGGTGGGAAGGGGCTATTTGCTTCCCACTTGCTTTGATCCGCCTCCCTGCCTAAGAGGGCCGCTTCCCTCCCTTCCTGCTCTGGCCTCCCACGCATCCAGCAATGAGAAATGCTGTAGAGAACTGACCAGCTCCCAACCCGCCCACCTGAGGAGGAGGAGCACTAGCAGCAGCAGCACATTTCTCTCTCTCTCAGCTTTTTAAACACAGTTAAAAAGAGCTGTAGTGTGGGTGGAAGTAGCTGTAGGGAGTGTGTGTGGGATTGGGGCCAGAAGAAAGTGAATTTCTGTTGGTAGGACAGTTAACTTCTAGTGGACCAAAAAAAAAAAAAAAAAAAAAACAAAAAAAAAAAATCCCCAAGGGTATCTTACTGCTGAGGGTGTCTTTGGGTGTAAAATTAGTTCTTAAGGTTGAGTTTCCCAGGTCTGGAAAGAACGAAACCGAGTTTCTTTTTTTCCTGGGAGTGCAAGTGATGGTACAGTGGCAGCCAGCACTCCTCGCTCAGGGGAAGCTTGCATACAAGACGTCAGGAGTCTGCTTAGAAAATTATATTTGTATTGCATCCCGTTGTGTCATCATGTCTCTTGTTCTGCTCACAATGTATGTGCTTGATTCGGTGAGAGTCAGAGCTGCCTGTATGTAGGAAGAGAAAAAGGCATGTGGTTTTCACAGTGTGGGTCTGTATTTCAAAATACCATCCCTGTTGGACCTCTTGAAATAGCACTATCCCAGAATATCAGTTAATTCAAGATTTACTCTAAATTTGTGCTTCTATAATAAATTATATTTAAGCTTATTTATGTTAACAGGATGTTATTTGAGGTGCTTTGCTTGTATTACATGAAAATAGCAGTGAAACTAGTATAGGAAAACAGAACTTGTAAGACTAGCGGTATAGAGTGCAAAGTGGTACTGCCATTTCTTAAGAAATTTCTCTGATAGATTCCAAGAACCAAAGGTGCAGAACAGCTTTCCGGTTCTGACTTGGTTTGATTTCGCCACCTGGAATACAGGTTTTACAATCTGTAATCCTAATCAAATTTGCCCTAACTTGAGTTAGTTACATGCATTCTTCTCAATCCAAAACTCTACCTATAAATTTATTTTGACTAGATTTCTCACCAGTATCAGACTTTC